CCTCAAAAGACACTTAAGGCGAGAAAAAACGAATCACCAAAGCAATAGATTCAGCAGAATGCATTCTGCCTTTCAAGATGAGAAAATATGACACTTTCTTAAACTGATTGTCAGTGAAAGAAGTTCTGCTATGCCCGATTTTCACCAATGTAACCAAGTAACGTGGCTGATTAAAATAAACAGGTTACTAATATATTAGGATCAGGGAACTAAGGAATATTAGAAATATGACTTTCTTTTAGCTTCAAGTAATGCCACATACCAGCTGTTCGAGGACTTTGATCTGTCCAGCTTCAGGAGAGAGCCTAGCTGAAAACTCAGAGCTTCGTGTGTTTGTGAGAGTTGGAAAGGAATCCATATATATCCAACATAACGACCAAATCTGGTGAACGATGTGATCACGTTTAGTTCCTCTTCTAGCAGACAAAAGTATGAACATAGTGAAGAAACATTTGCACTGTGCAGACTACTTGAAATGCTAGTTTTCTTTGAAATCGTAATTTCCGAGAAGGATGAACAAATAGCAAGAAAACGGATAAAAGGAAAGGAAGCATTCCGAGGGAGAAGAATGAACTACAGACAGTAAAATTATAATTTATAGTGACAAATGTACTTAAGAGTGAATATTATTAATGAGAATAAATAGTTTAAATTGAAGAGTCCATAGATTTTGGTAAATTTTTGAAGAAGAGTGAAGTAAACATCGGGTCGAAGGATGGAGCAAGATTGGAAATCTAAACCCTGAGCCATTTTGGCTTTATCTCAGATAGGCTCGCTTTTGCATTGATAGTCAGATTCCGAATAAGTATAGTCTCTTTTCTACCAAATGTTTGTAGGGCCAGTTCCTAATTCTGTAAAGAATTACTGTTTATCTTTCGTCTGTCATGTAAAGTGTATACTCAGAGCAAAACGGCCTTCTTTAAACACCTGCACTGTGAAGACAAGTCGACAAGGACAGAAGGAATGCTTGACAATACAAGTGACCTAAGCTTTATCCTCACTAGGTACAGCCATTTTTGGTTGGATCAGCGCATGCCTACTTGAATAAGGACGGACATCTGGCGATGTGTGCATGGATGTGCTTATGTATGCAAGCCAATTTATTCCTTAATACCGAGTCATTATAATCCAATAGATACTGCTATGAGACGTAATTACATTAGAAACATGACATATGATAATTATTAAATAGGACCGTCTGAAGAAAGGCCAAGTGAAGTGATGTGTGGGCAGGCAACATTGTCTATTTGCAGATAGGCTCAGTCATAGCCGCCTTTTCTCGGTTGACTATCGTTTCTTTTTATTTTTAATTCCCAACATCTCAAGTAGACCAGCATCCAAGTAAATTAGCCTATACCAAATTAGGAACGAGATAGAGTTTTAAACAGTGTCTTTCAGGATATTTTATATCACATGACGCGGTGAGACTGGGGTCATAATATTTGCTTACCACATAGTTATTTGCTTCGTAAGGTAGAATGGAATTCTGATCGAACAATCATTAGGTAGAATCATACCCAGTCTCTTTCGCCTGTTAGTGGTACATACCAAAAAGCGCATATTTTGAGGCGAAATGAGATCCTTCTTTCGCAGTGATTTTAGGTTTTGCCTAACTTCAGCAATTATTTAATCTTGTTCAAATAAATCCACATTCAAAATTAAATAGGAGAAAGCCTTTTTTATTGGGAAAATCCTATTTCAAGCAAAAAGGTGCCAGTAAATTTCGATATTAGTTGATACATCTGCCAAACCAAAAAGCTGGGAAACTCATAAGCTGAGTTGAGGCATCAGTGCTGGGGCATCAGTGGACTTCGTATCATGCTTTGAAGGGCAGCATTATCCCACCCGCTTGGACCAAAACATGCATCGCATTTACAAACGCACTTGACTGAGACGCCGTTGAATTATTTTGCTACCAAACTGTGTTAATAAGGAACTGTAGGGTGGTCAATAGATTAAACTAAGTATTCAGAATCGGAGGAGAGAGCGCTTCGCAATGCCTAGCTTTGATGTCGTTCTAGTAACTTTTGATACAAACTCAACGTTAAAATGGTATAACGCTGTACAGAGCCTCTTTGAAGCCCATCTATTCGACATGTAAGCCTAATTTGAGTCACCTTTTAAGCCATATCCAGACAGAGACGAATCGGGAGTTCACGATTTCCACATGATAGGCTTAGATCCGCCAACAGCTGAGAACAAATGAGAAGTCCAAAAATACTAAATTCGAGTCCGCCAGCTACCCCCGTAAAGGGATTGGCAGGAGCAAGACTTGTTTAACTTTATAGCTTAGTGTGAATCATAATTTGAATAGGCTCTTTAGGGCGGGTGGGGTTTTCTTTATTATTGCATTCAGAGCTGACAACTTGTGGCGAATAAGGGATTACGTTAGAGAGAATGGAAGACCTGTTTTTGTGACGAAACACGAGCTAGAACCATAACAATCCTTCTTGAAGGGCCAATCTGAAGGAGGCATAGCTCTTTTCGCCACCTCGGCCCACTTTGATAGGGCTTCTTAGACACGGAAATCTTGTACTTCTCTACAGTCCAGAACGTTAAATTCTGTGCATTCTTCTTCTTTAGAGGGTCTTGCCATTTCCTTGCTTCCCGAGCCAATTTGTCGACAATTCCAACAGCATTCACAGACACTAACGCCGTAGGGGGGAGGTCCACCATTCTCAATTGAATACTTCCTGCAACTTTCTTTCAAACAACCTTCATTTCAAATCATGTATTGGATAGCGTGGATGCCTCTGTACCTACATGGCCTGAGCTACAATCCCAGTGGGAATAGTGGAAAGGCTGATTCATGCTGAATAGGAGCTCAGCTTTCTGAGGCCTACTACCAAAAAAGGCTGGCCTTCGGTACCTTTTGTAGAACTTCCATTGATTATAGAATCTGCCTCTTCTGTAGTCCAAAAGTATTCCAAACTGTCAACATTAAGTTAATAGGCAATCATTCGCCATATGATATTCATGTTGACGAAGTCCACGAGTCTTCCTCCCTCGTTTCCGGTGAAAACGTGCTGAGCTTTTGTCCATCACATGATGGACATCCGCAGAGCTGGGTTTCATTCTTGTAAGAGACTCACGTTAACACTAAAGATAGAGCCGGATAGTGTTGTTGCTTTAGTGTTAACGTGAGACTCTTACAAGAATGAAACCCAGCTCTGATGATGTCCATCATGTGATGGACGAAAGCTCAGCACGTTTTCACCGGAAACGAGGGAGGAAAACTCGTGGACTGCGTCAACATGAACATCGTATAAAAGCCGAACGGCTGCAGTACAACGAGATTCATCCGTCCTCATCCGGTGAGATCAACCAACGAATCTCTTCTTCATGCACTTTCATTCGAAATCAAGGTCCCCCTAACAATGTTATCTCAGGAGATTCATCGAAACCAAGTTTCTCTTCATATCTACAATCATTCGCCAGTTGTTGGCATGCATCCGATGAGCTATAAGAGAGAGGGGGGGGAATAATTTCAAGGGACAAGATATTAAGCGGATGCAAAATGAGAAAACAAGAGTCTTATATGAGATGTTTTCTTCCTGTTTCGTTTAAGGTTATGAAGGACTGGTAGTCTAATTTTCCACAATAATATGAGTGGAGCTGACGTTTCCATTGAATTTCACATAGCCTTGCTTTCCCAAAAGTTGTTATCATCCAGGCCCCAGTGGACTGTAGTTTCGACCTCGCATCAACTGGTCTTATCAACACCCCCAGTGGGAGTCGAACCATGACAGTGCAGCCTTTAAGCTTGAACGTTAACCACTCGGTTACATTTCCAAGAGTGCTCCTGAGTCACAGAGCAGGTGTAAATCTCAAGGAAGGTCAGGCCTTTTCCCATATCACATTCTATAGGTGGGATTGTCGATGAAGCAAGCGTATTTTCGCTGTAACAATTGACTAAGTTACTTATTTTTCGTATGTAAGTACAGTTTCAATACAAACGTCAGCTCTACTCATAGCATTGTGGAAAAATTCTACTACCAGTCCTTCATCAACTTAAACGAAATTGTGTAAAAATAGCTCATATGACTGATTTACTAGTAGTCTTGAAACTATACTTATATAAGAAAAAGATAGCCTAATACTTTTTTTACCATTTAAACGGGGTCAAAGTCGCCATACCCATCTACCAACTGAGAGAACATCGTTTCTCGTGCCTTATGTTCTTCTTGTGATAGCCTTTTCAAGATTGATTTTCTTCAAACCTATCTCATCTCAACCCAGCTACGATCAGATGGTCGAGTATTTGGAAAAATCCAAAGATCGCTGTAGCTAAATGTTGCTTCAAAGCCTGACTGGGGCTTAGTGATCTTGCTCATCTGGTATGGTTGATGAGCTTAATCTAACATGGAGGTTTTCTGACCTTGTTTTCGCAACATGGTCATATTGGTAGGAAGACTTATTGGAACGCACCTAGTCCGGTGTCCATATACATCATCATTTCCAAAGTCGGACCGTGAACGTGGTACATTCCCAGACGTTTCGTCGGCATCGTCAGTGAGTCTCGCCATTCGTAGCACCATATTACAACTCGTCAAAGAAAACAAGTTCAGAAAACTGTCTCTTTGATGAGTTGTAATATGATGCTACAAATGGTGAGACTCACTGACGATGCCGGCAAAACGTCTGGGAATGTACCACGTCCACGGTCCTACTCTGGAAATGAT